AGACTCTGTCACCAAAAAAAAAAAAAAAAAAAAACAAAAGTCAAAGGAAAATTATCTGTAACATTGATGTCAAGATGTCCCAGAGTCAATGTAGATAGCAAAGTGAATTTTTCCATAGGATGTTAATAATCCATGAAAAATACTCTTATGAGTGTTAATACAGCTCACAAATACGAAACAATAGGATTACAAGCTCCTTAAAGCTTTTCTCCAAGACGAAGATTATATATCTGGAATTTGTATTTTATGGTTCTACTTTTCCACTTTCAAATTCTTTATCCATTTTTATGTCCTATTTATTTTTCGTTTATCATTTTGTGTGTGCATGTGTAGTTAAATCCAATGGATCAAGGAAGGAGATGAATGATAATTATAGATTTTATATATTACTGAGTACTTATGCTAAGCATTTTTCATTCCTTATCTAATTTAATTGAAAAAAATTCTGTTAGCTCTTAATCTTTCATAGCTGCTACACATTATTTCTCTTGTAGACTTTGGTTCTTAATATTTGTTTAACCAAGCTGTTATTGGACTAGTTTGGGAAATTTTTTCCAGTAGAAGATACCAGTGCTTCTATCTAATTTAGATCTGTATATTCAGTAGTGACTAGTTGGTTTTCTTAATATTTATTTGTTGAATTGTACTAAGAAGGAATGAATGAGTTTTCTTTTCTTTTTTTTTTTGAGATGGAATCTTGCTCTGTTGCCCAGGCTGGAGTGCAGTGGTGCAATCTTGGCTCACTGCAACCTCCGCCTCCCTGGTTCAGGCAATTCTCCTGCCCCAGCCTCCTGAGTAGCCGGAATTACAGGCACATGCCTCCACACCTGGCTCATTTTTGTATTTTTAGTACAGATGAGATTTCACAATGTTGGTCAGACTGGTCTCGAAATCCTGACCTCATGATCCGCCTGCCTGGGCCTCCCAAAGTGCTGGGATTACAGGTGTGAACCACTGTGCCCGGCCATGAGTTTTCTTTTTGAAGTATAATAAGAGATCAAAGTGCAGGAACTGC